CGCCGCTTCTGGTTCTGTGAGCGTCTGTAGCCCCAGTTCTAATGACAGGCAGAGTCTTCGGACCGTCATGTTCAGATCCTCAGCCTAAGGCCCACACGTCCCCCAAGTGCGTGTGGATAAAGTTGGGGGTCCATGGACCTGGGTGGAGAAGGTGACTTTATTCCCATCAACTTGGAGGGACCTCTTCCTCCTGCAGGTCAGCCACCCAGGGCAGCACCCGTCCCTCCCATGTGAGCTCAGCGCCGGATATGGCAGGTGTGCGGGGCACAGCCCTGTTCAAGTTGGCTCTGTGTGCATACGGTGCCTGGTACGTCTGTGCACGCAAGGTGCTGGCAGATGGTGCGGACCGGCCCGGCCTCACTCCTGGACCTGTGCTCTCCTCGCAGCCAGGTGTCCCTCCTTTGGGCCGTCTGGGTTCGCGACGCGTGGCTGTGTGCTCAGCTGGCCTCTGGCTCTGCCTGGCAGATGTGTGGGAGCTGCCCCTCTTCACCGCCAGTGTCACCCCAGCACCGGTTACCTGGAGCAAGCAGAGCTCCGTGCCGAAGTCGGGGTGTGGGCCTGGGCCTCGGGCTAGTGCCATTAGCCAGCATCTGGAACATCTTTTCTCCCCCACTCTGTTCCCCCCATGTATGGTTTTTCTTTCTGTTTGAAGATGTCCAGGGCGGTGCACAAGGAACCATGCATGAGAGGTGGCGGGGCAGGACCCAGGGACCTCTCCTGGGTTCATCCCAGGGCAGTCTTGGGAGGCGGAGTGGTAAAGAGCTCATTGCCCCAAGAAAATGTGGGGTACTGCCAGTGGCCTCTCTCCCAGGAGTCTTGCATCTAGGGGTTCCCAGATGCCAGGTCAGGGCCCACGCCCAGGCCTGCTGCCCTGCTGCTGGAACGTGGGGCTCTCAGCAGAGTGTGGGGGAGGGGACTCAGAAATCCAAGGTAAGCCGCTGCTCTCCGAGCCCAGAGCCCTCCTTCCGCCCTGCCCTGCTTCTGGGCCTTGGCATAGGCTGTCCCTCTATGCGTTTGGGGCTCAGACACAGAATGAAGTACGTCCTTTGTGAGCACGAGGCCTCAGGGCTGATGCCAGAAGCTTCCCCGGCTCCTGGTGGCTGCTGACCCTCTCGTCTACCCGGCTCTTCCCTGTGCTGGCCTTGGGTGGTGGTCACAGCCCCAGCAGCCACCCTGCCCCCCACTCCCCTTGTATCTGATAGAGCCCCTAACATGACGGAGCCCCGTGGCCCAGCTCAACAAAAAAGTCACATAGGAAAGTCACTCCTGCATCATACCCCCACATCCTTGCAAACCTCCCGAGACCCCTGGGCAGGGTGTGCAGAACCTCATCGTGGGGTGTCCTCTCTGCTCTGTGGGGTGCACACACAGCTGCTGGAAAGCCCTGGGTGGGCGCCTACGTGGTCTGCAGCCAGCTCTTTTTTAAAAAAACGTTTATTTTTAAAAATTGTGGTGAGATATAGACAACATAAAATGTATCCTTGTAAGCGTGTTAAGCATACAGTTCAGTAGCATTAAGTACATTCACATTTTTGTGCAACCATCACTTCCAGCCATCCATGGAATTTTTTTCACCTTGTAAAACTGAAACTCTATACCCATTAAACATAATTTCCATTCCTACCTCCCTTCAGCTCCTGGCAAACACAATTTTTTTTAAAACTCAAATTCAGTTAATTAACATACAGTGTATTATTAGTTTCAGGTACAGAGGTCAGTGATGCATCAGTTGCACACAACACCCAGGGCTCATCACATCACGTGCCCTCCTCAATGCCCGTCCCCCAGTTACCCCGTCCCCCCACCCATCCCCCCTCCAGCAACCCCCAGTTTGTTCCCTAGAGTTAAGCGTCTCGTATGGTTTGTCTCCCTCTCTGATTTTGTCTGGTTTTATTTTTCCTTCCTTCCTCGGTGATCCTCTGTTTGGTTTCTTAAATTCCACATATCAGTGAAATCCTATGGTATTTGTCTTTCTCAGACAGACTTACTTCGCTCAGCATGGTACCCTTGAGTTCCATCGATGTGGTTGCAAATGGAAGATTTCATTCTTGTTGACGGCTGAGTAGTATTCCACTGTATATAGGCCACGTCTTCTCTGTCCGTTCATGTGTCCGTGGACGTCTGGGCTCCTTCCACAGTTTGGCAGTGGTGGACATTGCGCTCAGCTCTTCAGCAGAGTGGCTGCTCCATGGCTGGCAGGGGTCCCAGAGGCTGTACGTGTCCTGCGCGGGGGCGTGTGCGTGTGGGGGCACACTTGTGCATAGTGGCACGTGCTCTCGCCCTTGTGTGGGGCAATGGTCTTCTGTGCCTGGAGCCCCACGGGTAAGCGTCTGCAGGGAGTGGTGTGGCCTGTTGTGGTAGCCATCCACGCTGTGCGGGACCCTCGGCAGGCTCTTGGCCTGAGGCTCAGGGGAGTAGGCCCAGAAGCCCACTCCCTCCTTGAGGGTTGTGGGCCCCCATGATACAGCTTGGAGGCCTTGAAAAAGGTCAGAAACCAGAAGTGACTGTCCTTACCTGCTTGCTGATCTCTTGTGGAATGGGGATGCTGTGGGCTGTCCCTGGGGCTCACGTGGGCCCTGCTAGGAACAGTGGCCTTCCAGGCCCGGAGAAGCACATCCTGCCAGGGCTTTAGATTGCTCTCAGGTGAGAGGGAGCAGCAACCCTCCCTCAGGGCCTGTGTCCATGTCCTGGCGAGGCTCCCCTGCTGGCCCCTTCCTGCTGCTCTCTCACTTTCATAGAAGGTTCTGCTCATGGGGTTTTTCCTGCTATAGGACTCTCAGAGGAGTTACTCCAGCTACCCGAAGACCCGTCCCCATCCTAGGGTTGACAAGCTTGGGGTGGGGGCGTGGGGGAGGCTCAGGCCCTTTCTCCAGAGCTCACAGGCTCGGTTTAGTGCTCTGTCTTTGGAGGCCAGGTCCCTGACTGGGAGTCTGCCCCCTGCCCGCCTCACTCCCCCACCACACAGATGGGGCTCTGGCCTGTGGGCGTCGGGCACCACTAGCTAGCCACCATGCGGGGGGGGGGCGGTGACCCTACTCCTGAGTCGCGTGCACCCCTCAGGAGTGTCCCTGAACCCGCGGGAGCCGGTGCCAGGCCTGTGGCTTTTCTCTTGGTGAGAACTCAGCTTGTTTCCTCTTCTCCCTGCTTCCTATCTGCTCAGACAGGAAGCCCCACCCTTGCTGGCGTAACCGCCCCCCCCACACCCTGTCGCCCGGCCGCTGGCCCCCCGCTCACCCGCCCGCAGGAGGTATCCAGGCCGTGCGGGCGGATGTCAGCGGGACGCTCTTCCCTAAAAAGCACCAACAAACAGGTCTTTCTTTCCTGAATGATTGTTTCGTGTCTGAGCAGACTGTCCACAGTCGTCTGTGGGTTTACCCCCGAAGCGCCTCCCAGAGCTGGGCATGGGCCTCTGAGCTGCGGGGCTCTGGGCCTTAGGGCAGCTGCTTCTCTGTGAGGACAGAGGCCAGTGCACCCCTGCACAGGGTCTGAGGTCCTAGTATTTCCTCCCCGGGGCCCGAGGGCGGCCTACGTCCCAGAGTCGTCCTCGACCCTGCGTATTTGTCCCCCGAGAGGGGCTGCAGTGGGGTGGGGCGGGGCGGGGCCCCGTGAACACGCGTGCATACGGACATGCGCCGGGCTCGGCCGGGCCCTCTGCCCAGGGCCCCGTCTGTCCTGTGTCTGGAATTTTGTGATGACGGCCCTGGTACGCGGGGCACCTCTGTTGACCACTTGACTCCCTGCTCCCTTCCTCTCCCAGGAAGCCTGTGTCCCCGCAAGGGGCCAGGTCTGTGACATAGTATTTTCTCCAAGTGTTCCTGGAGGTGGGAGGAACCTTTCTCCTCTCCCCCCCGTTACTGGTCTCCCCTCCAAGGCTTCCCAGCTGCCAGCAGAGCGCCCCCCACATCTGCTCCCTCCTCCTGAGGTCAGGCCGGGGCGGGGGGGCGGGGGAGTGACAGGGCATCGTCCTGTCGGCCCCTGGCCCTAGGTGGGTGATTGCGCACTGGCCTGTGTGTGGCCCCCAGCACAGTTGCTCTGGGGTGGGGGGCACTATCCATTCTCCACAGATGGTTCTGTTTTCTCGGGAAGAGACCCTGTCTCCCTCAGGATCCTGCGCCATTGGGTTGGGGGACTTTGTTCTCCTGACACCGGTTCTGGAGGCCACTCTTACTAGTGTCCCGCAGACACAACTTGGGGCCCCTGGGACACTGGAGGAAAACACGAGCGTGGCCTTGGTCCTGAAGCCCTGGACACTCGGTGGAGAGGGTCGTCTCTCTCTCTCTTTTTTTAAAGATTTTACTTACTTGAAAGAGAGAAGGAGAGACAGTGAGGGAGTACAGCAGGGGGAGGGGGAGAAGCCGGCCCCCCGTGGAGGAAGGAGCCCGATGCGGGGCTCGACCCTACGACCCTGGGATCATGACCTGAGCTGAAGGCAGACGTGTAACTGACTGAGCCACCCAGGCGCCCCGAGAGGGTCGTCTCTTATTTGGAGGATGCCTTTCTCCTGAGATCTTGCCAGATGGCTGCTCTGGCTTGACAGCTAGTTGTCAGTTCTGCTTGGTGGAACCCAGAACTCTGGGGACCTGGGTGAACCCCCCTGATGGAGGGCACCACACTTGGCCAGTGAGCCTGCCCGCTGGGCTGCCCCTTCCCCGTCCTGGCATGACCATGGCGGGGAGGCCAGGGTCCGCAGCTCCCGTCAGCCATTTCGGCACCAAGTCGGCAGCGCACGACAGGGAGGGCTGTGGCAGGGGGCTGTCCCCTCAAGTCCCCGCCCGGGGCTCGGCCTGGGCGCCCTATCCTGGGCCTTCTGCAGCGGTGGGGTGAGGTCCTGGCGTGGCAGCCCCACGGAGCGCTCGGGGAAGTGGCTTGTCCTGCCCTGGGGTCAGGGTCTGCGCATCACTGTATGCATCTCGTGCACGGTCGAGTCTGCTGGTTGGAGACCGTGCCCAGAGCACGGATACCTCTGGAGGCCCCAGCAACAACTCTTGTATTTCTCATAGGTCTCCTCCGAGCCCCCGGCCTCCATCCGGAAAACAGATGATGCCCCCTCCCAACTCCCTACGTCTTCTGAGAAGGACAAACAGTCTGGCTGGCTGCGGACCTTGGCCAGCTCTAGCAAGGTTGTGCGGGGAGTGGGGTGGTGCTGAGCACGTTCACCTGAGCACGTCTTCGGGGTGGGGCGGCCATCACTGAGGCTCCGCACCCCAGCCTCTCACACCCGGCGCCTCTCTTCCCGCAGAGCCTTGGCTGCGTTCACCCTCGCCAGCGCCTCTCTGCTTTCCGACCCTGGTCCCCTGCAGTGTCCACGAGTGACAAAGAGCTCTCCCCGCACCTCCCGGCCCTGATTCGAGACAGGTGGGTGCCTGCCATGCTGGCGGCTGGTGGTCCACACCAGGCCTAGGGACGTGGGGGCCGGGGTTGGGTTCTGCCACCGGGTGTCTGTAATCATCTGCTGGGTGAGACCTTTCCTTTACGGGGTTGCTTAGAGTCTCTCAAAGTGGACACGATCCAAGAGAGGCTGTCACTCTGCGTGTCTCAGGATGGGCCTCCCCCAGTCTGCTGGGCGCTCCTTCGGTGGCTTGAGCGCACAGTGAGGCGGGCTCAGCGTGGGCAGGATGAAGTGCCCAGAGCTGTGGGCCCGGGATTCTGCTGCGTTTGTTCCTGCCCGCAGGCTGCGCTGTGGGGCCGCATGGCCATGGGAGCAGCCAGGGAGGCCAGCCACAGTCACCACAGTGCTGGTCCTTTAGACGGTGTCGGGTGCGGCCAGCTACCCCGCAGCTACTGGCTTGCATCTCCTCCTTCACCACCTTCCAGGGGGCAGGTCCCCCGAGGAGCCTTCACGTGCTGGCCACGGTGGGGGGGGGGAGGGGCAGACGCCTGTGGCCCCAACGCCCCTCCCCCCGTGCCCCACAGCTTTTACTCCTACAAGAGCTTCGAGACGGGTGTGGCCCCCAACGTGGCCCTGGCACCGCCGGCCCAGCAGAAGGTCGTGAGCAGCCCGCCATGTGCCACCGTGGTCTCCCGGGCCCCCGAGCCTCTGGCTACCTGCCTCCAGCCAAGGAAGCGGAAGCTGACCGTGGACACCCCCGGAGCCCCGGAGACGCCAGTGCCCGTGGCCGCCCCGGAGGACGACCGGGACTCGGAGGCTGAGGTGGAAGTGGAGAGCAGGGAGGAGTGTACGTGTGAGTCGGGGCCCTGGCCTGCCCCCGGGGCGGGGCCGCGCGGTGCTGCGCCAGCACTCTGGTGACCTCCGCCCGTCTTGTTTCCGCAGTCACCTCCTCCCTGTCTTCGCTCTCCTCCCCATCCCTTACCTCATCCAGCTCCGCCAAGGACCTGAGCTCCCCCGGCGTGCATGCCCCGCCCGCCGCGCCCGCCGCCCCCGAGGCTGCGGCCCCTGCTGACACCATGAGCGGTGGCCTGGAGGCCGAGTTGGAGCACCTGCGGCAGGCCCTGGAGGGCGGCCTGGACACCAAGGAAGCCAAAGAGAAGTTCCTGCACGAGGTGGTGAAGATGCGCGTGAAGCAGGAGGAGAAGTTGAGCGCCGCGCTGCAGGCCAAGCGCAGCCTCCACCAGGTGAGGCCCCCATGTCCCCGCTCCCCAGCTCTCCCTGCATGGTGCGCCCTGCCCCTGGCTTGGCCCCTCATGGGGCTGGCCTGTCCGTCTGGGGGCGGCGGAGGCTGGGCTGCTCTCAGCGGGGAGCCCAGGACGGTTGTGGGTCCTTGGCGTTGCACGCACCAGCATGGCCTGGTGTGTGCAGGATGAGGCTCTGAGGGTCCCTTTCCACACGTGGGGTTGTCTGAGGTGGAGCCAGCAGGCTTCTCTGCAGCAAGTGTGCAGGCTGGACCAGGGGGCTCCAGGCACAAGCTCATGGCCTGTGCGTGCACACTGGCTTCTAGCTGATTCCATAGAATTGACTGCTTCCTTTTGAAGAGGGGGCTAGAGCCTTGAGGGTGTCTGGGCCCCGCCTGCATCCGCCTCCCACCTCAGTAGGGGGCAGACTGCGGGGCCTAGCCCCCAGGTCCTCCTCAGGCTGTGGCGTCCTCCACGCCACCTTTCCTCCCAGGTGGTGGGGGGAGGCCCAGAGTTCGCAGCGCCGGGGAGGGCGGCGCCTTCACATTGGGGCTCTGCGGCCTCGCTGGAGGCCCGCCCGGTGTTGGCTGAGTTCACACCTCTGCGGCTGGCGGCTGGCGTCTGGCAGCTTTGCACGTGGGCTCCTAGCACGGCACAGCCTTGCCATCCTGAGAGCCCGAGGATTTCAGATGTCTTCTCTGAGTGTGTGTCAAGCGCTTGCTCAGGATGCCCTTTCCCTGGTTCTGGGTGGAGGTGTGATTTCACACATGCATCCTCCTGAGCACGTCTGGGGGGTGGGGCGGCCGTCAGTGAGGACAGGCGGAGGCGGAGGTGCTGAGGAGGGTGGCCTGGGAGCCCGAGCCGGTGCTCGGCCTTGAGGAAGTCCCGCGGGCTCTATGAGCCGGGCTGAAACTGGCACGGCACCGCCACCAGCTCAGGCCGTAGGCTGGGGAGCGCTGGGCCGTGGCACCCTGTGGGGACGGGAAGGCAGGTGGCAGCCTTGTGCGGAGGCGGCGGGCAGGGGCGGCCTGGGAGGGAGCACAGGCTGGATGGTGACCCCGGCCTGCGGGGTGTGCTGCCCGCCCTCCCAGGAGCTGGAGTTTCTGCGTGTGGCCAAGAAGGAGAAGCTGCGGGAAGCCACGGAGGCCAAGCGCAACCTGCGGAAGGAGATCGAGCGCCTCCGAGCCGAGAACGAGAAGAAGATGAGAGAGGCCAATGAGTCCCGGCTGCGCCTGAAGCGGGAGCTGGAGCAGGCGCGTCAGGTGCGGGTGTGTGACAAGGGCTGCGAGGCCGGCCGCCTGCGCGCCAAGTACTCGGCCCAGGTACGGGCGGGGGCTTCATGGCGGGTCTTCGTGGCACCCCCCGGGAGGCAGGACCCCGTGCCTGGCTGTGGGGAGGAGGGGGCACGGAGGCCTGTGCGGGGCCGCCAAACACCGCCTCTGGACTCAGCTGTGTGGCAGGTTCCAGGTCTGGGCGGGAAGCGGCAGGTGCTCTGTTGGCACCTCCGGGACCCACTGCAAGCTTAGGGGACCATGGGGGCCCAGCAGGCTGACTTGGGCACTGCACACTGTCCTGGGCTTCAGGGGTCTGTCCTCCACAGGGAGGCAGTCCCCTGGCCGGTCAGGACCACCGTGCGGGAGTTCTGCACGACTGTTTCCCTCCTGGCCGTGCCCTTCCTTGGTGGCTTTGCTGGAGGAACCAGCTCTGAGCCAGCCCCAGGGGTGCAGATGAGCCCCCATGCAGCCCCAGCTTCTCCTGTCCTGGGGCCGGGGCTGCAGCCCACCCACCGTGTGCGGTTATGAAAGTCTGAGCACAGCCCGATCGGCCGTCCCACCCAGCCAGAGTCCTGGATAAGGGGCCAGAGGGCACTGCAGCCCCTCCTCCTCTGGCTTTGCTTCTGCTTCGAGAGCCTGGCCTGGGCAGCAGGCTCTCGAGGGGAAACCCTGGCCTCAGGAGGTCAACAGGGTACCCCCAGGCCGCTGCTCTTGGGGTGCGTGCCATGTCTGGACTTGGGTCATGCTGCCGCCCGAGAGGCTCTCCCAGGCACTGGTCGCTGCCTCCCTCGCTGGAAGGAGGGTGGGCCGGGCCGGGGAGTGGGGGCCGCTAACGCCCAGCGTCCCTTTCAGATCGAGGACCTGCAGGTGAAGCTGCAGCACGCGGAAGCGGACCGTGAGCAGCTACGGGCCGACCTGCTTCGGGAGCGCGAGGCCCGGGAGCACCTGGAGAAGGTGGTGAAGGAGCTGCAGGAGCAGCTGTGGCCGCGGCCCCGCCCCGAGGCTGCGGGCAGCGAGAGCACTGCCGAGCTGGAGCCCTAGCGGAGCCCACTGTCTGCCGCCAAGGTGCGGACGCCGCAGGGAGCGGGCGGGCGGGCGGCCTACGCCAGCGGGGGCTGGGGGGGGGGCTCTGCGCGCCGGCGGGCCCACCCCCACGTCCACATAGCACAACGTCTTACTGTGCCTATAACCAAGCGAGTGTTTGGAACCACATACTTTTGGAATCCACTGCAAAATTTTCTACTGGCCAAGTTCAAGTGCGCAAGCCGGGTTCCCAGCCGCAGCCGGAGCCAAGGGCTCCGCGCCTGCAGCGGCCCTCTGCTTGCTGGAACGTTCTAACATTTACATTTTGTTATAAGCTATTTAAAACCAATAAGAAGACTTGATACTCAGAAAAATCAACAGGTTTTTTTAATGACTAACTTTTAAAAGCCCCACCAACACGTGACGCCATCCGAGGACCTGCTAAGGGAGCCGGGGTACAGCCGCCCCGCCCCGCGAAGCCATCGCAGCTCGTCCGTGGCCACGAGAGGACAGGGAGGGTTTTCTCCAGAGTCTATTTTTTCAGCGACGAGGACCCAGGCCTCCTGTGCTGCTGCCGGGAAGAGCAGGGAGGGCGCAGGGAGCCGGGCCGCCTCACCGCCCGCCTGCCCGCCAGGCAGCCCCCGTGGGGGGGAGGGCAGTGAGTGCCGGGCCCGCTCCGCCTCGGCCGCCCTCCCCGGCCCGCTCTTGTCGCGTCGGGACTGAGGCTGCAGCGTTGGAACAAAACAGCATTACTTCACTTTTTTTTCTTTTTTTTTGTTCATTTAAACGTATATTTAGAACTGCACTTTGTCAAAAATCTTCCCTTCTCTTTTTATTCCCCAGTTAACTGAGGTTTTTACTTTTCAAATATTGCAAACCCATTTATAGAGCAGTCCACATCCTAAGTGCTCGAGTGTTTAGAAACCCCCTCTGGTGCTTGGTTGAACAAGGGAATCACAAAACGAAAATGCAAAAACTGAACTTCGGGGGGTAGTTCTGTGCCTTCCAGCATCTTGTACAGCAAATCCTGACTCGTCTTTTTACCCCCGAGACACCTGTCTTCAGACTGAATCTGCCACTATCAGAATAAGTTACTTGCATTTATTCCAAATAATCTCGTTTACTCTCAACTGTTCATGCAAATTGTATAAGGTTTTTTATGCCCAAGCTTGAAAAATGATTTCCCAGTAGACGAGAGGCGGCTACCCATCCTGAAATTATGGTATTTATGTACATGAGAAAGATCTTACCAGAATTCTTTGCTTGACCCCGTTCTAACGCCGAGGCAGCTGTGAGCGCAGACGGAGGTGGAGACTGCTGGCCCAGGTGCAGGCGCCGCCCGCCGTCACGACCAGCAGAGGCTTGGTGACCATGTCATCTGCAGGGTTCTCGCCCATGGTTTACTGGGGGGGAGGGGCGCAGGTGCTGCTGGACCCCCCCTTCTAAAGTGCAATGCAAAAGGGACACCATATATATGCAGCGTTTGTTTGGATTTTTTTTTTTTGCTTTTTTTTTTTTTTTTTTTTTTTTTTGCAGTTACGAAATCTGTATGCATGGAATGTTAAACCTCTGCCGTATGTATACCCATTGATGGGCATTATTACCGGGTCCTGGAAGGGGCCGGTCGTGCTACACAACACTCAGAATGCTGTGTTCAGCCTTGTTTTTCCAGAGTTGTGTTTTTTCAGTCATTTCTTCAAGGGGAACTAAATGATTTCGTCGGAGCAGAGCTTTAAGTGTGCCCTCGTGCTTCTGGGTGGCAGTGCTCTGTTGCCAGGAGAGATCAAAGGGCCACTGCGGCCCGTTGCCCGGGGCCACCCGTTCACTTTTCGGTTTGGGCTCCAGAGGGCGGTGAGCTTCTCTTGAGTTCTGTGTAGGGGCCCTGCCTCCCGTCGCCCTCGCCCTGCCCACCTCCGGTCACCATCTCAACTGCTGGGTCCACGCCTCCACTTGCCAGCTTTGTCCAGGAAGGTCGGGAAGGGCTTGGGCACGCTGCGGCCGGGCCGGGCCCGCCCCACCCGTCCCCGCCTGAGGGGCCTGCGGCCCGCCAGAGCTGGGGTGGCGGGGACCCGCCGTCCCAGGCTCCCCGGGCACCAGCAGCTCGAGCCCTCCTGGGCAGCTCCCTTGGTGAAGCCGGGGTGGGGGTGGGGGGGCAATCGGCTCGTTCTGGCCGCTTCCATCCGAGGGTCTTGAGACCTGGCTTTCATTCGTGCAGCTGCGGTTCAGTTTCTCTGCAGAAGGGAGAAGAGTCTATCTTGTCGGCTGCTGACGCTCCCTGTGTGTAGTATCCATTATCCAGATGATTGTGTATTCAGTTTAATTACTCATTATTTCTATGCTGAAAGAGGATTTTTAACGAAGGGAAAAACAACAGCAATAACATTCATATCTTTGGAGCAGCTAACTCACACATAATATCCTGCTTTTCGTATGGAACTAGCGCCGTGTAAAAACAGTCCCTGTAAATACTGTCCCTCGGCACTGTTGTATCGCACGCGTATACGTGGCTCCTTTCTCAGAAACTCGTTTCTTACCTGGTAGTTGTCTTGTTTTCTGGGTTGTTTCGAACTGAGGAAGAACAGCTCACCTGCCCGAGGGGATGGACCCTCCGCCAGCCCCCGTGGCACCCCTGCGGCCCCCAGCCCCGGGCTCCGTCCTCCCCGCCCCTGCCCGCCCACCCACCCACCCACCCACCCACCTACCCACCGCGTCCACCAGGCTCGAGAGGCCGTCTTGTTCTTGCTTTAAGTCAGGAGTCACAAGCGACATTTTTTTTCAATTAAGGAAAAAAACCCACAGCTCTACCTTCATATCCGCCAGGAGCGTCTGCATCGCTGTCCGCGTTCCCTCCTTCGCTGCTGCTAATGACAACAGGATGACTTACTCTACTATCGAAAACTATTTTTATGTAATTAATGTATGCTTTCTTGTTTATAAATGCCTGATTTAAAAAGAAAAAAGAAAAAGCTTGGCATATTTATCTACTTCGCTGTGTACCCGTTAGTCCTTTGGCGCCCCTCCCCCAAACAGATGACATTGTACAATAAAGGACTTTGAGAGTACGCCTAGGACAGCCATGCTTGCCCCCCTCCCCCCGGGTCACCATCTGGGCCCGAGCCCAGGGAGGGCACGGGGGTGTCTGCCTGCTTGTCAGACTGCGCAGACCTTCGGTCTCCATGGCCCCCGAGTGACGCGGGGCTTCGGCGGGCAGCGCCGCGGCTGGGGTGCTGCCTGTCTAGGTCCCACCTGGCTGTGGCCCACGGATGGCAGCTGGAGGGGGCCGTGCCCGGGGCCTGGAGACCTGCCCCCCGGGGTAGATGGCCCGCTCCCCTCAGGTGGTGTGGGAGCCCTGGGCCCCAGCGTGCCATCCTGGGGGAGCAGCACGGGGATGCCGCCGTGCCGGGCGCCAGGGCGCCGCCTCTCCCAGCTGCCCGTCGCTGCCCATGTCCCGCCTCCCAGCTAGCTCCACAGCGGCCCCTCCAAGGTCACGTGGAGGTCATTCAGAGAGCCGGGCGGCGGGAAACCCAATGCCCAGCCCCGCAGCTGCACACACAGCCCCAGCAGTCCTCAGGAGCCCCCCAGGGAGGGGTGCGGGGTCGGCTGGGGTATGGACCACCCCACCCAGGCAGCCTGGGCTCCCGGCTTCTGCTCAGGTCAGGCCTGGAGCGTGAACAGTGCGGACCAGGAGGAAGAGCCTCAACGCCCGCCCTCGCCTCTGCCTGTCATTCACGGGCTCGCTGAGGCCAAGATCCTAGCCGCTTGTGGGGTGCCACCTAGGGTCCGACACAAGAGGCTGAGTTGGGGGCAGGTGAGGAGGGAAGGCAGACGGTTTATAAGCTGGGCCCCAAGCCACAGGCCCCACCTCTGTCCCCTCCTGCTGCTCATCAGGTCCCGGGGCCCTGCCTGGGGTCCTGGGGCCCAGAGGCATGGATGACAAGCTTACCGCAGTGGGACTCAGACCCCAAGAGCGGAGCCCACCCCCCTCCACCACTGCCCCCTTGGTCACCTGGGCCTGGCTCCCCGTTCCTCTCCGGGGTGGTCTCCCAGGGAGCTGTGGGACCATTGGCCAGAATCTGAGTGCCCCCTTCTCGGGTCAGGCTGGACACCTGGGGTCTGTCTAGCACTCTGTTGCAAGGCTACCCCTCGCTGTCTTCTGGGATCTCCCAAGTGGACAGTTGTCCACTGTGGCCTGCTGGGGGTCCCAGGAGCACCCCTGCAGCCATGGGTGCGAGCCAAGGGCTGCAGCCGAGGTCCTACCTGTGCCCGGTGCCAAACACTCGCCCCTTTCTCGGTCTCACGACCAGGCCCACCTGGATGGGCAGCAGGACCTCGCGTGACCTTGCAGACTTGTCCAGACCTGCCATCCCCATGGGGCATCGATGCTGCCACTTGGCGTCCCCTCCCCAGGGCCTGCCAGGCCTCGTCCTTCCCCGGAGCATCTCCTGCTGCCACTGCTCGGGACCCGTGGGCTCTCGGCTTCCCGGCCTCCACCCCGGTTCCACTGTGAAGGCCTGCCTGCCCCTCCAGGCCCCGGATGTGGGAGGAATGAGGGTGGGAGGCAGGAGGCAAGGGAGGCAGGAGGGGAGAGGCAGTCCTGGAGGAGGGCAGGAGGCCCATGTGGGCCGGGGAAGGAGGGCTTCCCCAGGGGGCAGGGCTGGTGCAGGCTGTGGGGGCACTGTGTGGCCAGTGTGGGGCTCGGCCCGGGCAGGCGGCTTGGAGCTGGGCTGGCGGCCGACTCAGAAGTGCGGGATGCTGGCCAGCACCTCCTGGGGGCCGGGGCTCCCCTTTGGGGTTCACTTTTGGGTATAAATTTAACTTTAAAGGGCCCTGGGTCGGGGCACCCGGGTGGCTCAGTCCATTAAGTGTCCGACTTATGATTTTGTCTCAGTAAGGCCTCATGGGTAGGGGGACAGAGCCCTGCGTCCATCTGTCCTGGCTCCGTGCTCAGTGGGGGGTCTGCTTGAGACTCTCGCTCTCCCCCTCCTGCTGCGTGCTCTCTCAAATAAATCTGTCTTTAA